AGAGTAACTCTCCTGTGCCAGCTAAAAGGCTCAGTGTCCGCTCCTATAAAAGGAACATATTTAACAGGCAACCCAGACAGATGGATCGACATGCTTAAAAAATATTCATCTCCAAAGAAAATCAGTGTAAAAAAGTAACACTATAAATTTTATGAATGAAGATAGTATAACCTAGTAACTTGAATAAAACCTCCTGAAATATGTGTGGAATGCTAGAAGCGTKTTTAAGAGTTCAAAGTTGGTAAAAATAATGTAAAAATCAACTGAAAAGAGGRTATCTMAAAGGAAAACTKATCGSTTGATGGTTYCWTGTTTCAGGCGRAATATAGGTCCTTATACAACTTTTTGCATCGCTACAAACATTTCAGACATATTTCAGGCACTCGCAGTTTTAGTCAAAAGATTGGGTGTATATATAGAAAGATAGAGCAAATAATAATCAAGAGTAAGGTACTTTTCAACGGACTGTTTAATTGAAGACAGTAACTTTATCGAAAAAACAATTGGGATGCAAACATTTCCGGCTGTGGAGAGTTGAGAAGGATTTAGCAATGAGGGTCACAGTTCGACAAAAAAACTCAGCAGAAAAGAAAACAAAGGCATAAGCCTGCCTAAACCCGTCGACTCCMCAGTAGAGCAACARCTTGGCAAKCATCGAATCAGAGTGGACTGTGCAAATAACGAGTAGCAATTAGATTATTCATGGGACTTTGTAAAAATGAGTAATATATATTGATACTACAAACCAAACGCTCAAAAATAGTCGCTTTGATCGTTTATAAGGCGTTGTTGACGGGATKGTATGGAAGCTGTTGGGGTTTGAATGCAATGCCCGTATACGGACGAGTTAGTCGCATAGCAGAGTTGGAGATATCTTTTCTATTGTCCTTCAGATGGTATAAAAGTATACATAAGTAAGGTATTGAAGTATAGACTTGTAATATAACAAACTAAACGAATTTTAAATASACCTTTTGAGGCAATTTATATAAATAAAAATGAGATGAACGAGCACAAGAACTCTTACTRAACAATCGAATTCCTATTCTATTCCTATCTCATTCCTTCATTCCGTTTACTCCTTTCTATTTCATTTCTTCTACTGAGCTCGATATTATGACTGCTTCATATTCTATTTGTCTTTTTTCTATCCTATTCTATCCCATTCCTTTTCTTTTTATCCTCTTCACACATTTACTGTAAATGCGACCTCTAGTAAACGACCAACCTTTATACTTCAAAGCGACCATCTGGTGTTTACCAGAGTTGACCGCTTAATAGAGGTTCAGCTAAACTAGCAGTGACTAGATGGATATGACATTTTTTTGGATCCCTTTGTCTTGTAACASGGTGTGACCATGGAAACCGTCCCTGGGGCTGATCGATATTGGCATTATAGCGCCTTCTAGAAATCAAACAAGCTTTCTTTATTTTCTATAATAATGTTTAATGTATTTCAAGCCGTATTCCAAAGTGTTTGTCAGGTAAAGTCAATGGAAAACGTACACTTATCAGTCATAATCAACATCAAATAAAGAGATATTGGTTAGTTGGTTAAATAGAACACTTGATCAAATGGAACAAGTGATCCGGCGGTTAACGACACCTGCTAAACAAGTGACTTAACTTGAATAATAAAACAAGTTTGTATATACATAAACAGCAGATATAGAGATTAGATGCACTTCATAACAACAGAAAARACTCAAAATAAAACAGTTGTATTTCGAATCTTTGATCATATGGAATGAATAATCAAATAGAACAATCGATCAAATAGAACGTCTGATCGGTGATCGACAGCACCTGTTATAGGGYAAATRGATTCGAATTCGATATTTGAATACATTTTAGACCACGTGAGTGGATGTCAGACATAAGATTGCAGTCTGATGTCTCTTAACGAGGTTAGTGACCCATTTCCTTCCCATTTGCGAGCTCCATAGAGAACAACACTAASTTTTACAGAGGTGCACAACTCGACTCGCGCGCTCAAGAGCGTAACACCAGTTTTTTCATGCAAGAGAACACGAGGATCCTTTGCAAAGCAGGTAGCAACAAAAAACACGAAATTTAAAGCGCTTTTAAGTGAGATTTTCTTCCATGTCAGCTCGTGAAACAGGTACGTCGTTCGAAACGTTAATTGTAAAATCTACGTGTTCACCGCAATATAACATTTTGTTGGCTTAAAATCAGATCTTCTTCTCATAACTACCGAGCGTGTCTTTCCAAAATGATCTCGTGACAAAGAAACCCGTAGTTTAAAGACCATTTATTTGACAAACTGCTAATCAAAGCCGAGAACTTTTCGATCAAATGGAAAACATAATCAAATGGAACACATTAGTAATTAGAAAACGTGATCAAATGGAAGAGTTGATCGCTAAAATAGAACGAATGATCAACCGAAGAGTGTTTTACGTTTGTGAAAGTATCCTCCTGAACGGTAAAAATGTTAAATAATTTCTTAGTGCTAATGAATTTAAATGACAAGAATCATGGATTACTTGAAATCATGACATCTTTATGATACAAAATAGTGTCCCTTCAAATGCAATATGTCCATTCGCGTTGCTCGTTACGGGTCTTATATAAGCCTGCCACGTATATTTACAAAATGTATCATTTCAMAACCAGCGATTCTAATCTTTCTCTTGTTTAGACTAAAAATATAGCTAAATTAAGAGACAAAAGAGTTTGTTTTCGATGTGTTTACAGTATTAACACGCAGTCAATTGAGAGCAAATCGACACTACAACCTCCCATGGTGTGAAAACTGACGAATTGTGTTTGTTTTCACTACATAATAAGTCTTTTCGTGTTGTTATAATTATGTTCTTGCAAAAAAAAAAAAAAAGAAATTGACTCTGATGACGTGTTCGAGAACGATTTTATCATTGATCACGAGAACACCATATGATCATACATTCTAGAAAGTCAACGATCATGTATTCGAAAASTTTTTGCGGTTAGTGCGTTGTTTTGCCATATGTGAAATAAGGGAGCCTGTATTGYGTCCGGTTTTTTCTCCGCTCGAATCCCGCTCGAAAGTTATAATCGTAATAATCGGATATATATGCATAAGTCAAGGATTTTATACGGTTTTTCGAGGCAATTCACTAAGTATTCTAATGGGTTGAACTTAGGCCTACTCGACACTGATGGTTCGCTTTTCGTATGTTTGTATATGTTTTTTTCGCTCTCAGTCCTTTTGATGACCCAAAACAACAACAAACGCATCGAAAACACATCATTTGCAAGACCTTAGTGTCGAGAAAGAAACGTTTATTTAAAAAAAGTCTCTTTTTTGATACCTGCGACGATAACAATAGTTTGAAATGTTGTTCTTACATCTATAGTTTACTCTGCACTAATTGGTGGGAGCGGGAGACATCGGGGGAGGGGGGGAGGGAAGGGGGGAGGACGAGGCTAGGAGGAGGTGCAACAGCCACAGATCCACAGATGGCAGTGCGGTCCCTCCGTTTAATTCCGTCTTTCTTTGTAGGTAAATTCTAGGTGTCAGTATGCATGCAAACTCTTTGATATTATATACTCTACCAGAATCATATCGTTGTTAATTTGACAATGACATATCTAGACATATTTTCAGATTTCAAATTTCAAGAAACATTTTTTCTGGTGTTACAGGACAGAAATACAAACTTTCTGCTGTCATATTTACGTTATTTTGAGTATAAAATACTGGGTTGACGTAGCACAGTTTGCATTTTCAATTCTCGATGTCTATATTTAGTGTTAAGTTTTCTCATATCGTTTACATTCCTGACAAGGTGATTCTTATTGTAGTCGTGGTTACTTATAACACTACTGCTATAGACCTAATATAAGAAACAGTAGTCAATCTGTAACTCTYGTTTTAGTCGGTTTAGTACGCTTGCATTTCTAGAGATTGCTATTTTATTGTTCCCTTGTGCCAAAATCGTCCCAATACCGCCATAAAACGCATTTTGGATGATTGCTATAGTCATCTTTAGATATTTTACTTCAGTGACCGGCCATGCACAAAAGAATTGCACACGAGGCACCGGGAAAACAATGGATAATCTTCATTTATTCTTTTATTTCCCCGGGGCCTCGTCTGCAATTCTTTTGTGCATAGTCACTGAACAAAAATATCTAAAGTCAGCTATTATAATATTAGATTTCTAAGACGTCATATTTATGTGAAATTTTTGAATGTAAGCAACCCCATCTCCCAATGACGAATCCTCTAAACACCCCTGAAGATATATTAAGACATGCAGGCTTTATATTAAGACACTGACCCGTCTTGTTTTCTTTGACTTTCAGATCTTGCGCTAAAGTATTATTGAATAGCCATACAAACTAAAAACTGTTCGAACTAAACACAAATCACACTTAACACTTAAACAAATACTGATTATAATAAATAATACAGCAAAAAATAACTATTAAATAAATATAATCTTAACATGACAGACCTTAACGAAGCAAAACTCAACGATAACAAAACAGATCAAAACATTTTGAAAAGCGAAGAAYCAGGAGAGAAAAAAGATTATGTGACAGAAAAGGAAAAAGAGGAAAAAAATGAGAGTAACAAAGAGAACGAAAGTGAAAAAATTGACGAACAAAGCAAAGCAGTTAAGAGAGACGACTCTACCTTCAACCGTTTTCTCAGCTGGTGGAGAGGAAAACCAAAAGTGGACGCCAACTTGAAAGACGAGGAAGAGAATAAAGAGAAAGAAAACGAAAAAGAGGGAAAAGAAACAAAAGAAATAAYCGAAAACGCAGAGAATGAAACAAAGAACAGCRAAAGTGCTGAGTTGACAAAAACTAATGACAGCAGCCAAAGTGACATCGATAAAAATCCAAATGACGTCACGTCACGTGATGAGAAGAAAGTAGGTAAGTCCCAGTCTTTTTCATAAAAACTCTACACGACCGACAGCAACCATGGGATTTGGTTATTGGTGATGTAGAAACATTCACCCATCAAGGCAGTCCCTATCATTTTCATTAATGAAGATTTCAATGACAATAAACCAAATTAGTTTGGTTTATCTTTTTGCTCCATCAGATCAATGACTATCGACCACAAATTTGAAAAACAATTGTAACGACCAGTCGTTGCTCAACCATAATCTCAGACAAATAATTTCGTACTGCTAGACGTGATATGATTACCAGATGGTCACAAGAACAAAAAATTAAGCTTACAAAATCGTCTCCATTGTTTCAAATTCATCGATGCAGCGCATTTTACAAAGATTTCACAATAGAGCAGTCTTTTCAAAAAATACTGTATGGAATCACCATATATCTGTCCAAAAATACTGTATGGAATCACCTTATTATGTCCAAAAATACTGTATGGTGCCACCTTAACATTTTTTTTTCTCTAGTTTTTATAGCGTTCTCACTATCTTTTAATTTCTTTTTGAGATATTTAAATGTTTTTATAGAATCCCATAGAACTATCAAGTGGCTGTCATTCCAGAATAAATGACTAATAATAAATTTAAAAAGTGGCATATCAAAATACCCAAGGAATATTTAACATCGCTGAAACAACTGAAAAGAGCTTATTTGACCTTGGTTTTCCTTACAGTATATTAAAAAGATGCAAAAATATCATAACCACGAAGAGTTCTCATGTGGTTAAAGATGTTTTCCAAACTTAACATACATTAAGGGGTTCTTTTTGACAATTAGTTGACTTGCCACTTAAAGCGTTCTAACCGACTGGACATGACTATATAATCAGTTAGCTAACATAAAACTATTAGAGACTCGCTGTATATAATTTATTTATAAATTTATTTGCGTTAGGACAGAAACCTTTATTAACAGGTTGGTTTTCTTAAGGGTTTTTTTTTTTGCTGAAAAAGTGTACGGTTTTTGAATGCTTTTAGATTTAGGCTAATTGCCATATTGTCGCAGAAAAGACTAGACAATTGAATCAATAATTAATTTTCACACAGTGAGGTCTTCAACCGTAACAGATCGTCGCTTGGAAAAAATTCTTGAGGAGCAAAAAAGTCCTGGAAAAAACGCGCCCTTAGCACAAGAAGAAGACGACGGAGACGAAGCCATCGATACAGTTGACCCACGAACGACTATCGATCGACCAATACCACCAGAGTCGGCAGCCGAGCTCGAAAAAACAAGTAAAGAGAGCCAGCCGAAGATTGCCGAAGAAGCCGACGATAAAACCGGGCATCAATACCCACCTAACAATAAGSTGTTTGTGGTTTTAGACAAACCGATCAGCACAACAACAATACAGACCAACCACGAGGTTCCTGTCAATACACACTCGGCAAACGACGATAAATCTAACACCGTCYCCCACAGCGAACACGCAAAGACTAAGAGAACGCAGCCAAGTGAAGACGAAGACGACCAACAGGTAGGAACAACAGTTGATCAATGAACATACACAGCTTTTCAAACAATGCAAAAGGCCAAAACCTTGTAAATACTGTTTTCAACTGACCCATCCTAGGGTTAAATCATGCAGYGYGAGAAATGTGATCTTCAAGCGGCGATGATGRTTTTTYAKAGTTAAAATCAAAGTGAACAAAAACAGTTACACCTTTAAAGTTTGTACGTTCTTTTAGTATATTRAAGCGCCGTAGGAAGGTAGCAAGGATATCCTRMAGGAAGTGTGATAATTAGTGTGAATGATGGTGTACGAGCACGCGTTGTGTTAATTGGTAATTGCACTAATATACAATCGATAGACCTATCTTCCTGATCAAAATCCCTAATATTGATATCTAACAGGATATAATTACGCTTTTTAGTCTTATAACAATTTCAACAGCCGCGGAAGAGTTTTATTGCTTGCGATAACAATAACAATGAATGATGGTCTCATAATGACGCACCCTCCCCTCCCCTCATAAAACTATAGTCACAATAAACCAACCACGTGTAATGATCAACTGTTCTATTTTAAAAATTCGAAAGTTCAATTAATTCATCGAACGTTCTATCTTTGTTTACTACTTAAAACATCGTCCGCTAAGTATTTCATTGCTTAGGTTCAACTATGATATGCCCTTGCGGAACGCAAGGCATCTGTGATATTAATCGGGGTTTAATTCACGTGGAAATTTGAACAATATGTTGCGTGGTTTGGGGTGTTTTTAAGGATCAGTTGAACGCTGATATCTATTTCCAAGGTGTTATATTTCATAGTTTTGCGATGATCGMACGGTTTTGTGAGTAAATTAGGAAACATCAAGTGGATTATAATTCTAACGTAAAATTTTGCGATGATAAGGTGTGGATAATCTCCCGTTACGTACGTTACGTACTTACCCACTTACCCACTTACTGCGTCTTCTTAGCAGACTTCTTCATAAATCCCAAACTTTTACGTCTGAAAAAGAACGCAAGGTCTTGCGTGAATGTTAAATACAATCGCACGCTAACGTATTAAGGTCTTGCGTAAACGTCCAAACAGCAACGATACATAAATATACATAAGCAATACAACAATTACACGCAATTTTAGAACTATACGCTTTGAGTCTGCGTATCTAGGTCTTACGTAAACTGTCAACGATACAGAAATATACATTATATACAACAAGAACAAGCTATTTCAGAACTATTTTAGAACCGTTAACGTCTAGAAAGAAAATGTTGTTTTATCCTTTACGTAAGACTACTGAAAAGTTCATTTCATCAACAGTCTAAGAAAATGGAAGAAGTAATCGAAGAAAGACATCAAGATCTTAGAAAAGACAATGTGCAAGACGCCTGGAGACGAATGGAGCCAAGYAGCCCAGGCAAAGAGACTGGGAACAAGGCATTCCGAGTGAGCTACACCATTCGTACGGAAACCATAGAAACGAAGAAAMAAGATGTTGATGATGAGGTGGAGCTGTTTGATGACAGCGTATTRCTCAACAGTGCGGTACGTATAGTCTCCTTCACGGTTCCCTGCGCCATCTTGAAAGGTAGTCGTGCCTTGGCATCGAAACGAGACCTTCTTTGACACCTATTATTCACAGGTTTCTATCATTGCACGCTCAACGGTTGTCCCGCTTCGATGTAAAGGCACGGCTACCTTTAAAGATGACGCAGGTAACCGTGAAGGAAACTATTCGATCTCTTTTCGTAACTGTGTTGGTCATAACAAGGCGAGAGTTAAATAATCGAGGTTTTAATATCACTAACAGCCGACAAGGTTCTACGAAGGGCCTCCCCCTGAAGATCTCGAACCTGAAATCATAGAAGAGCATGCGCGAGCAGATGAAGCAGCAACAACGGACATCGATAATTTCTTTGAACTCTGCAAAGAAGATGGCAGTGCTCCACTTGCAAAAGGTAAAATAAATAAACTATACATATTTATTTTGAGGAATATATAACGATTGCTTTTCTTTTGCCTCTGATCAAATAAACACGGTGGAAAGTGGAGACTRCTCCACGAAGTAAGCCTTGGAAAACGAACGTAGCTCTTGCGTGCTTTCCATTCCCTACGCAACCTCGTTTCCAACTTTTCGCTTGGGTTCAGGCGACCGCCTCTAAACGCAGTGATAAGGCCTGGGTACTAGACTGTTTCCCACCGCAAATGTGAACTCTGTTTTTCAACAGATGAAACGGAATCAGTTCCCCAAGAATCTGCTAATCAAGACGAACAAGACAACATACAACAAGACGGTCAAGAAAGTGTCCCGCAAACACCCGAAGATATCTTTAAAAAACTTCACAGTTGGGACGACGAACCGACCGACTGGTGGACAATCACCAAGAAAAAGAAGGAATACGAAGAATGGATGAAACCCATGAAAGATGGCACTATTAGAAGGGTATATTTAACAAATTGGCATGGTTTTGAGTTGWATGTCCTCTTGGTAATAATACTATGTAATCTTTCAGGTTATCATTCCATGCGTGGAAATCCCATATCAAACCAGTAAGTACTATACCATACGTAAAACTTCAATAATAGTCTCCWTCACGGTTCCCTGCGCCATCTTGAAAGGTAGCCGTGCCTTTACATCGAAGCGAGACAACCGTTGAGCGTGCAATGATAAATACCTGTGAATAATTGTTTGTAGGTATGAAAKRAGGTTTSTATCRCTGCACGCTCAATGGTCGTCTCGCATTGATGTAAAGGCACGGCTACCTTTCAA